GTTATCCTCCCTCTCTGGTATCTACAGTTTCACTTTTTGCTTGTTTTATGAGGGCCTTCTTAAACTACAAACCTGCTCAATAATTTTACACAAAGGAAAGAGGAAACAAACTACAATTTTGCTAGTGTGTGGCTCTGAATTGATTTCTTTCCCTTTTCAATCCAGATTCTCTACAAGAAAGTTAGTCCCTTCTTGCTACATTCACCACTACACATCGGTGAATTTCATGATTGGCTCTAGTCTGGCTCCCGTATCACATGTCTGCTCCTAGACTTAGCAGTGATGACCTCCAAGGAAAGCCATACGGTGAAAGTCTGCTGTTCATGTTCTTAGAGTCTCCTCAGCTTTGACCCTTTGGCTATATCCACTGGTTCTCTTCTTGCACTGACATCCACTCCCACCATCTTTCTTCATCAAGTTCTTTCACATTTTTCTTCAAGGGAAAAACATTCTCCATAACTCTTGCCTTGGTCCTCACCTCTTCTGTTTCTGTTTGTCTTCTTTCATGACACTTCTTTCTTACGCTCCTCCAATTTCAGTAATCCCAGCAATCCATATGCCCTGTTTGTATATCTCTTCTTACAGAACCATTTTACCTCCTCTATCTCTTCTTGCAGAGCCATAGACCCAAATGACTGACTCATTTTTACATTTGGATGAACTTCCCAAATTCAGAACATTATCTTCCTTCTCAATATTTCTCATTAATACTACATTCAGTTCATTCAAAAAGAAAAAAAAAAAAGGACTGCTAGAGAATTCAGTAATTGGAAGATAAATGGTGACTGTTAAGAAATAAATTTGATTGTAGGGGAGAAAAAATAGTAACCTGTTGCCTAGAAGTGTAAATTGTTCTTTCTTTGAACAGTGAAGAGATAACAGAGACGTCAGTCACTGGAGAACATATACAAGAAAAAATAGGTAAATATTAATGAGACTATACAGATAGAGATTCTCGTATGCTGTAGAAGGGAGTAAGGAATGTTCCTGAAGGACAAAGTTGACAAACCATGTTGCACTTTAAATGCATCTTTGTAATTTACACTAAGAAAAGGATGCATGCTGTTTCCAGTGCCAACAGAGATAGAGCCTACATTTTTATGATGGGACTGGTTACATAGAGCACCGGGTGTCTGAACAGTAGAACACCATGCTGTGTATGTTGCCCCTAGAAAAAGAATGAGAGGGCAATAAATCCAGTTAACAGCAAAAAAAGAAAGGAAGTCATTGTGAAAAAGAGATATAAGTAAATCACATTTATAACAGGAAAACTTGGGAAATGTTGCAAGCCCTGGAAGCTAGATGATAGAGAAGACATTTAAGATTGAAGGAAGGAAAAAATAAGATTACAATTGAATCCTAACAACCATAAAGATGGTAGGAAGACCTTTTCTTCCAGCAGCTAAATTATATATTCTGCATGTGACATTTGCTTTAATACATTCATGTCTCCTATGTATCATTCATTGAAGCATTGAATAAATCATTAAAAATCACCAGAAATATTTATATGCAATAGTTAACCTTTACATTTATTATGACATCTACAGCTAGACAAAAATTTCAATTTGTGCTAATTTGCACAATTAGCTAAATCACATCTTCTTTTCAGTACTCCCTTTATAAATTCCAGTCCTAAGGTGTATGAAGTTTTTTAATTCTATACATATATATAATTTTAGTATCCTTCAGTTGAATTATTTTTTTAATAAGTTAGGATTCTGAAATGAACTAAAGTCACTTCATTTTCCAGCTCTGTCTCTATTGTCACTGTTGTTTCTTACTTGCAAAAGTGTTCAAAATAATGCATTTTATATCTGGCTGTGTGGTTGCGTTAGTGTTTTGCTGTACAATACTGAAATTTCATGTTTTAATTCAAATAAATAAACCCACTTTTCTCTCCTATTGTGGCAGAGGAAAAAACAAAGGGGGGAAAGACAAGAAGAAGATAGGCAGGGTCAAGGAAAGATCAAGTCTGTGATGAGGAAAGGTTTCTATTCAGGCTCAATGCTTTTAAAGACTACTAAATTTTTCTCAGTATTTCATACTTAAAATTTTAAAAGTTACCAGCACTAACAAAGAGCTAGGTAGTTCTCTCTCTGGTTGGTCAGAAAGGATTCAGAAACGTGTAGGAAGGTAGGAGATGCTGTGCGGAGTTTCAGAGTTAAGACACAATCAATGCCTTTGAAACAACAGCTTCCTCCGAGGAGAGAGATGCTGTCAGCAAATGAGAATTGTTTCTGTCTGTCTTCCTTCATTTCTCCCACCTTAAAACCCTCACCAGGGTTGCCCCTGTTGCGCTAATGCTCACTCCTCAGTTGCACTTGGGTGTACAATACAATCAAAAGCAGGCAGCGTGCTAGGTTGGAAGTGCAAAGAGACCCTAGCTCTTTGCCTCAGTTCTCAACCCCGGCTCCAGGGACTTGCCAGCAGAGGTGGGAGGAGCTCAGGCAGTGGTTCCCCTCTGGCTTCTCCTCCCACAGAAGCCCTGCCCCCTCACAGTTGGGCAGTGAAAAGACTGGCTTTCTTTCTCCTAGTTCAGTCCTTTGCCTGGTATGAAAGACCACTCAAAGGCTGTAGAGTTGATTTCTGTGCTTGACAAAAGTATGTAGATAGAAGACAGGGCTTCCTGGACGGGAGGAGGGAGGAGATCTGAAGATTGCTGCCTGGGCTGGCTGAGCTAAGCAGTCCAAGTGGGAAGCTGAGTGCTTGAAAGAGGATTATGCACGCACTAGAAATAAGCAGTAAGTGAGCCCATACCATTATGGCTTAGAAAAGAATTAATTCCCCTGGGGTTGTGGGGTAAACTAGAAAATGTTGGTTGATTCTAGAGGAAAAGTGTAAGACTTCTTGTTCTGTGTCTGTCTGTGCTGCTTAGAGACTAGGGGCTTCGGGTACAAAACAAGAGCTCTAAGGAGCCCTCCCACTTAGAAAATGCCAACTTCTACTTAGAGTAGTTGGAGACAAAAATCTCCTTCCCCAATCTAACCTCTCACTCAGAAAATTCACTACTGAGTTAGATAAGTAGTTGCATTACAATTGGAGTCACTGATTTGTGGCATGGGCAGAAATTGAAATATTAAATCATGTTTTATGACTGCTGACATTGTATCTATTAGCAATGAGAGTCAAAAAAATGTCTGCAGCAGAGGATGAAAGTGGGAAAACTCAAAGCTTTTATCACGAGTTGAAGTCCATATATAATTAATAATAAGTGAGATTTTGGAAAACATTCACAGCATTCAGGAAGACTAAAATCACATGGATAAAAATTAATCAGGAAAAGAAAGAAATTTTCATTTCAAAGCTTTCTGTGTCAGTGTTTACAAAGTCAAAACAATGATTCAGGAATATTTCAGTTATTGTTGTACATTATTAATAATGTTGCTGGGCAAGATCTGTAGTTCTCTGGTCAGCAAGTTCTGGCAATGAAGCCACTGCCGCCGGTGCAAAGAATTCTGGGATGTCTGACAGTGAAATGGATGGAAGGACTTACATTCCACCTCTGCTTAATGTCCTTTTGTCCAGAAATCGAGTCATGCAAATGAGCTACTTGGTACGTATACAAATCAATATGGGAAAGGCATTTCTAAAGGTATTGCATTAGAGGGTCTGTGGGACAATATTTTATGGCAACCAGTAGACTGAAAGGATACAGAAGCAAAGCAATGGAAAGGAAGTCAGTTAGACTGAAGGCAACCTTGTTCGTGTTGTTGTTTTTTTTTTTTAAATCAATCCTGGAATGAAATCTCAGAGGAAGACAAGAATAAGAGTATTGAAAAAAATGCTGTGACCATCTGTTCTGTTCTGAGTAGCTGAGTTCATTAATGTATGAATGAGAATTTGGATTTTACTTATGCATCCTAATACTTAATGATTCAAAAATCTCTTCACTATAGAAAAAGAACAAGAATAAGAAGTAGGTCTGTTGGGGAGTAAATATGTAAATCTAGTGTTCTGAAGTGCTGTAGGAGGGATAACAGATAAGGCTTACATTTTCCAGAGTAAAGATTATTTACCTGAAGTTCACTTAAGGATGTGTCTTTTCTTCCTTCTAAGATGAAAATCCTCATATGAGATGACATATATAAGCCTAAGAACTAACTTTGATCATCTTAACCCTAATTGATGTGACTCATCTAAAGCAAGGACTCTGAAAATCTAGCATTTAAGGATGCGGTGAATTTTGCTTTTGTTGCTGATGTAAAAAAACAAACTGAGGTTTCTAGTATTCCCATCAGCCTTTACATTGGGAGTTAATATCCAGCTGTACTATCTTTGTTCTGCAGCACAGCTGTAAACCGGTTGTCATGACCCAAGCACTTGCCTAACTTCAGCTTTTACAGATTTGTTATAGAAGACACTTGGGTGGGAGAAAGGTCATTTATATAAATATGACGAAATAAGTGCATTTACAGAGATGTTCTGTATTCTTCCAATTTCTCTGTCTGATTTTCTCATGAGCTATCTTTTAAAAATTATTTACAGGTTCTGCTTTCCAACAGTTGTATTCATCTATTTCTAAGAAAATGTTGAAAATCTGAACATTTGCTGTGCAATAATTCTCTGTTAAAAACATAGCAAGGCACTAAAACAAAACAGATAATAGCTGGAGATGTAAACATAGTAGAATAAAAAATGAAGTTTCAATCTTTGAGTAAAATGTACTGGGACTCTTCAATGAATTGCTTATTTATATCAAAGTGTTAAAAATCTTTTCTAAAACTACAAAAGAGAAACAAAAGAATATTAAGAAAAGAATTAAAGGCATAATTTGAATGGGAGATGCTAAGCAGAAATACTTAACGAATAATTATAATTCAGAAGTTTAACAATAACAACATTTGACGGATGTACTTGGGAGACTGACATAAAAAATGATGCATTATGACTTGTGAATGAGGCTAAATAATGTTATCTTAAAAAGGTATTAAGTGGGAATTAAGGCTATCTTTAATTAAAGAAAACTAAATGATCGTTTAAAATTATTCTTTCACAAGAAAAGTAAAGAACAAGGATATGGAAAACTAAGCAGTGATGAAGACCTCGAAATAATTGTTGATCAAAAGCAGGTAAGTGAACACTTACATACCATTTCTATTATTGCAATGTAGAGTTCTGACAACTGAAGCCCTTAGGGCGTTCAGCCTTCCCCTGGCAGTTGTACTAGCATGTCTAGCTGAGCCCTGTACAAGAAGATAGATTTTTTTTTAAAAGCAGATGAGCCTCCACAGGCATAGGATGCCTGTGATTCGTTGACTGCTGCATCATGCCAGTATATACATTCTATAGGTCAGAATGACATAAAATAATACTCAAACAAGATAAGAGAGTTTCCAGAAAAGTTGTAAGCTCAACTTGATAAATTGAGTCAAAACTACAACGATAACTTAAAAAAAGAGAGACTTAAAGAGTAAGATAATGCATTATGTTGATTATGAGAAACACTAAAATTAATATATGTGATAAAAATGAGTATGATTTAGAGAGAAGGAGATAAAAGATTAAAAAATTCGAGAGGTATAAAGCATGCGTATTGCTCAATTTACTTTCTCACAGTATCATTTTAAGAACAAAACAAAAAGGCTATGTAGGTCTGTAATATTGCCCGTAATTTGAGAAGTCGCTACCTTAGATGGTGTATGGGCCCGTAAGGTTCAGGAACCTGCTTGATATACTGTAAATAATGACATTCCAAGAAAGTTTCCAGCTCATACCACTAAATGGAACTCAGTGCTTAACATCCTTGTTTTCTGTAAAAAAGACAAAATAATTGCATATCTATTTAATATATCAATGACACTAAATCTGAAAGGGATGTTTACATCTGAAGAATCCGGGCAGATGATAATAGGGAAAAGGCAGGTAGCTTACACTGAACAATTTCCTAATCATACAGTTCGTTTTGCATCCTAGTGATTGTGTCTATTTTAGTGAAAAGGGAAAGGACCAGCAGAAGGTAGCCACCACATATAACTGACTGAGAGGCTTGCTTGCCAGGCCTGGAATAACTGAGAGAACAGGGTGGGTCTTATGGAAAAACACCAAACACAGCATCTCTGTGGAGGGGCAGGATGCATCCATCTTTCAGGATGTGCACAAACTGCCTGAGTGCTTCTTGTCTCATGTTCTTGAGTAAAACAGTGTGTGTATTATTATTGGTTTGGTTAATAAGGTAAGTAGGGCTGGATTCTATCATTATAATTGTCCCAGATTACCTGAGACATGTAATAACCTTTGTCTTACCGATCCTACTCATTGACTTGGATTCTCATGACAGAACGGTTCCCACTTGATGAAATAAAATAGCCATATGTGATTGGCTGTATTACGGGAACACACATCCAAGTTCATTTCTCTGTTAATTTGAAAAATTAGTTATTTCTTTATTTCTTCTTTAATCATGGATGGTAATTTATTCTTATTCACTAGCTTCGTATCACAAAGTTTTTAATCCAGCCTGCTTTTATTAAAGCTTTGTGTTTTAGCTATATTTTGGTGTTCAGAAGACTATCAAATTATCTATTGAGACCTTTAGGGGAAAAAGTTCAAGGTAACCGTTGTTCCTTTTGCTCATACCTTCCCCAACGTTTATATTGTTATAACCAAACACATTTTGTTAACCGTTAAGGAATCTTGAAATAAACAGTAAATCAACTTTCCTGCATCTCTAGAAAATATGCATAGTGTTTTCATTACCTGTGCCAAATGAGAGGAGATTCCATTTGTTCAGACTCATGATTTTCCTCTAGAGTTGCCACATTTTTCCAGTGCCGTTCCAGTTGGCACCATGTCGCAGTGACCCATTTTTGCTGAGTCATTCATGCCTAAGCTTGTTGCAAAAGGTGAGTAATGATGAGGACAAGTCAGCTTTTGTGTTTGCTCTTTGCCTCACAAGAGGCCTTCCTGTTGGGGCAGGTTTATCTGGTGTTGATGTTGTGAGCAAATCCTAGTTGAAATAATGACAGTATTGATATTTCAAAGCCCAATATTTGGGAAAACAGTACAGTCTTTATGAAACATATTCCTTAGGAAATCTTTGGGTTATTCTTTCAAGAACCTATATGATTAGTATATGTCTTCTTCTAACTTTTGAGAAACAGGAGAAATCTGTGAGCTCATCTGCATATAATTGCAAACACCTTTTCCAGTAAATGATGCTAAAAGAAAACCTGAAGAAGATAAATATGAAAGAATTAGAGTGGTGTGATGTGATGTGGAAATCTGCTAGATTTCATTAAACTTGTCACTTAGAAACTGTCACTCCTGCCAGGGCAAACTACATGTCCATGAATTAGCTGTGTCAAGTCTTGTGCTTCCCCAGCAAGCCCACAATGCTGCTTATATAATCACATTAGCAATGGCAGTAGCACGAACTATGTGGATTTTGTTCTCCCTGGCTGCTCCAGTTTAATAGAGTACAGCATCATTCAGCATTATTTCTACATGAAAAAAATAAATAAAGTTTGGAAAGACTTTATTTAAAAATTGTATGTTTTTCGTAGGTACAATTCTAAGAAAATAACCATGCTTCCCTCAGTACCCTAATCCCCTCTCCTTTCTTCTTGAATGACTTCTCCTTATCTGAAATTTTGTTTTTCAAAATTATTTTGGGAGGCGTGTTAAAATATTCTGAAGATTTCCAAAATTAGTATTGATTGCTAAAGTAATAAATACCCCATAACTATATACGCAGGTTGACTATTCCCTATCTGAAATACTTGCAACCAACAGTGTTTTAGGTTTGGATTTTTTTCAGATTTTGAAGCATTTGAATTTACAGGGGGATTTTAAACAAAGGGCTCCCTTGGGGGGTGGGAGACTCGACATGTTTTCGGGACCACCCCATCCTGGAGGCCAGGTTTTTTTTGACCCTGTAGTACCTGTCGCCGGGCCGTGTGCTGCCCTGAGGGAGGGGCTCACGCAGCAGGCCTTCAAGACCCCCAGCTTGGAGGCTTTTCGACTAAATTCATTTATATTTCATACATATTAGTGTTATACAATATTAGCATTGAATATTAGTACAATATTAGCATTGACGAGAATGCTGTACAATATTTTTAGTGTACTTGCATTTTGAATGTAATCTGTCACATGAGGGCTGATATGCAAATCACTTGTGGCATCATGTTGGTATTCCAAAAGTTTCAAATTTTGGATTTTTCAATTACAAATACTCTATCTATACACATGCACATGTATAGTCATCTAAGTACAAATGTATCACATTGGGACAGAGTCCATATTTTTCACCAGAAATTCCCAGGACTTTTAAAAATCCAAGCATAAAAAGTAATTAAAAGGAAAAATATTGAATTAAAATCTTAATGCTTCTAATGCCGATGCATTTGACAATCTTTATAATCAGTGAATAGTTAGGCTTTCTAGTATAAATATTAAAAGAGACATTTTTAAATATATATTGGATCATTTCTATTATTTATGAAAGTATCCTTTGCTGTTTGTAGGAGGTGAAGATGTTAAGTTTTTATGTGTATATGTGAATTTCCTTCAGAAACTGTTGAGATTTCAGTAAGAATGGGCCTATATATAGTATATTACCTTAAATGGGGGATTAAAAACATTAAGCACCTTAAATCAACAATAGAATTGTTCAGTTTTAAATTGGTAATTTTACCTACTAGAGTCAGCTTATCTCAATGATTACAATATGTTGGGCCTGGATTTTTTCCTTAAGTTTTCAAATTCCACATTGACTGAAAGGAGATAGCAAAGACTAACACAAAATAATGGAATATATTTTAGGTGAAGGACACAGTTACAGATTCAAACACTGAAAAACTGAATTTAGCCAGACGTCTCGATGTATTTGGTCATAAGACTCAAGGCTTCACCTGTGTATCCTTCAGTGCGATTAGAAATGTCAGGTAGTTATCAGGAAAACACGTATGTGTGAGTGAATGCAATAGTTTCCCAGTATCAGCTGTTTCAGTCTACGTGAGGGCTTGTCATGGCAGACTGCTAGGCTCTGCCCTCAAGGTTTCTGACTGTAGAGCTGGGCTAGATTGAAAATGTGCATTTCTCAGTTAGCTGCTGCAGCTGGTCCCAAACCACATTCTAAGAATGACTGGGTCAAAGAAATAACTAAAGAAATTCAAAGTCGGAGGCAGGGAAAGGAGCAAGTGAATTGTGGTACGTTTGACTTTCTGCAACTTGTCATTACCCAGTAATACAAAAGATAGAATATTCTTGGATATTCAGCATCATAATGGTAAAACAGCATCAGTCACCTAATAAGCAAAAGTGCCTTCGAAGGCCCGGATGTGCAGTTTGCTGAATTTCACAGGACATTTTGTGAACTTGAAGTCTGATCTCAATTCTCTTATTCGTAAAATAACACTCTTTCTCCCCCATAACCTAGAGTTTCTTTGACACAAATTATGTAGAAGCACTTTGTAAAGTGTAAAGCATAATTATAATTTTAATTAGCTAATATTCCTGTTCATGATGCCTTTCACCTCTCCCATACCCAGTTTAGCAAACAGGAACTTTGAGATCTAGGAGGTGAATGGAATTGCCTGCAGGCTTACTTGTGCATAGAGAGCAGTAGAAAAGCCAGCTTGCCTCCTAACATCAGTCCAGTGCTGTCTCTCATTCCATTGCCTATTATTAATTATTGTATGAATGGGTTAAGAAGCTGTTTAGTCTCAATGCTCTCATTACATAAGATAACCTCTTACTAGGAATAATTGTAATTTGCCAATATCCATTTGCCAACCCTCCACAAGGATACATGTTCCCATAGACATTTCATAACTGCTTGCATCCCTCTTGGTGCCTGTGACTTTCTCAAAAGCCAAGCACTTTGTAATCAAGTACAAAATTAGATCTGAAAGATGACTGTAGACAATCACTGGCCCTTCTCACAGTCTCAGCAGCAAGAGCCTCTTCCAGGAACGAGGCTAAAACCTCCTAGGAGTCTCTTTTCAGACTTGTGGAGTATCTTGAACAGGAAGCAAAAAGGCATCTAGAACTTCAGTGATGGCTTTTCTAAAACAAAAAAAGACAAAAGAGAAGTCCACTTTGGGTCTCCAGTTGAGCAGGCTGCCAG